TTTTTCACTTTCAAACCCAGGAGGTTGGTGCACATACACTTCTTCTTCTATAATACCATTTAGAAAGACACTTTTAACATCCATCTGATATAGAGTGATGTTATTTTGTGCAACAAAAGAAATGAGTAAACGAATAGACTCTAACCTTGCTACAGGAGCATAAGTCTTTGTATAATCAATTCCTTCTTGCTGACTATAACCTTGAGCAACGAGCCTTGCCTTACTTCTTTCAACTTCTCCTTTCTCATTAAGCTTGTTTCTGAAGACCCATTTAGTTCCAATTATGTTGAATCCTTTTGATCTTGGAACTAAATCCCATACATCATTTCTTGTGAATTGATTGAGCTCTTCTTGCATGGAAATAATCCAGTCATTGTCTTGCAGAGCTTCATCCACAGAAGTTGGTTCAATAACTGACACCAACCCAAATAATGATGCTTCAGAAGATCTGAGGAAGGATCTTCTTCTGATGGGGTCATCCTTCTTTCCAATGATCACATCCTCTGGGTGAGAGGCCTTGATTCTGGAAGATGATCCTCTAACAGTTGATTCTTCAGAAATGTTCAAGTTGTTCATCTGAGAAGCTAAAGGAATTGCATCTGGCGTTGCTTCAGGTTCCTTCAGTTGAACTTTGTCTGCCTCTGAGCCTTCAGAGTCTGTGATAACTACTTCTCTATCTGCAGAACTTTCAAACTGCTTTGGCTTTTCACTGCCAAGCTTATCATCAAATCTAACATGAATAGATTCTTCCACAATCTGTGTTTCAGTATTGTATACTCTGTAGCCTTTAGAGCGTTCAGAATACCCAAGCATGAAACACTTCTGTGCCTTAGAATCAAACTTGTTAAGATTCTCTTTAGTATTCAGCATATAACAAATACATCCAAAAGGATGGAAATATGAAATGTTGGGCTTTCTGTTCCTCCATAATTCATAGGAAGTCTTTTCCAGAAGAGGTCTTACAGACACTTTGTTCTGAATGTAACAGGTTGTGTTGATTGCTTCTCCCCAAAAATGTTTTGCCAGATTAGTCTCGTTGATCATGGTTCTGACCATTTCTTGCAGAGTTCTATTTTTCCTCTCTACAACTCCATTCTGTTGTGGAGTTCTAGGACAGGAAAAATCATGAGCAAAGCCATTTTCAATAAAATATTTTTCAAAATATTTGTTTTCAAATTCACCACCATGATCACTTCTGACTTTAATAATTTTGAAATCTTTTTCATTCTGGACTTGTTTGCAGAAGTCAAAGAACACAGAATGTGACTCATCCTTGTGTTTCAAGAACTTTACCCATGTCCACCTGCTGTAGTTATCAACAATGACTAATCCATACTTCTTGCCTCTGATGGATGCAGTTTTCACTGGTCCAAACAGATCAATGTGAAGTAATTCTAATGGTCTTGAGGTTGAGACAACATTTTTAGATTTAAAGGAAGATTTTGAAAACTTTCCTTTTTGACATGCTTCACAAAGAGCATATGAGTTGAACTTTAGCTTAGGAAGTCCTCTAACCAGATTGAGTTTATTAATCTGAGATATACGTCTCATATTAATATGTCCCAATCTTCTGTGCCAGACCCATTGCTCATCATTAACAGACAAGAGGCATTTAACATTTTGAACTTTAAGTTCTGAAAGATTTATTTTGTAAATGTTGTTCTTCCTCTTTCCATTGAATAAGATTGAGCCATCCTTCTGACTAACAACTTTACAACATTGTTGATTAAAGATTATATCATAACCATTGTCACTTAATTGACTTATGGACAATAGATTATGCTTTAATCCTTCTACAAGAAGAACATTAGATATAGAGGGAAGATTACCATTACCAATAGTACCAGAGCCAATAATTTTGTCCTTCTGATTCCCTCTAAACTTCACTTCTCCTCCAAATTCTTCTGTAGACAGCATTCAGAATCTTCTGGAGGCAGCATTCAGAATCTTCTAAGAGATGCTTCTGACGCTTCAGAGCCTTGCATATTTCTCATGTTCAGATCTAATTTGCTTCTAGAGTAATATTCACTTTAACATCTGCAGCAAACATTCTCAAACAAATTTTAGAGTATATAAATCTTTAATACAAAATTTCATAAGAGTTATCATCAAAACATAGAGATATTATTAAGAACTAATATGTGTTCTAACATGTTCTTGTCTGTATCAAATGCTTTTTGTGTTGTGTGGTTCTGTTGACAGCTTATTTAAAAACTTCCATAGTATTTGAGTCTTTAGCACTTTCAAAGTATTCAACAATAATCAATAAACCAATATTGATCAACTTGATCATCTTTGTCAACATCTTCTTCATATCCTTGAACTTTCTTTTATAGGACTTGGAAAATAGCCGTTGAAAGTAGCTTATTTGAAGAAATGAAGAACTAGTTCCAAGTTAGATTTTGAGTCATTGCAAAATAGATATTTAAATCATACTTTTTAACCATTCTATTTCAAACGGTAACCATAACAGTTGGAACTAGATAGCCATGAGTATAGGCAAACAACTCAGACAACATGGAAAGTTGTATCTAGTCAGAAGTATTGCCCACTGAATAAAAGCAATGTCCATAACACCTTTCGGATAACTAGGTATCTACCAAAAGGTAGAACAGACTGAAGAGGTCATATCACTATCCTTGAGCTTTGCAAAACTAAACCCTAGTTGACTTTGTCCATAAATCTGTCGCTTTGACAAGGCTAGTCAACTTTGGTCCAGAGTACAGATCAGTCGCTCCTCAAGCCTTCACGGTCTGAGCTGTCATCAGAGGTTGAAATATCATACCATAGTTTGAACCTACAAATGTTGATGAACATATTCAGATTTTGATCAACTTGAATTTGAGTAACTTCTTTGTGGAACTGAATCTTTTGATAGGCTTGAAACCTTGATATAATTTGACTCCAGAGCCCGCACACTTGAACAACTATTAGCAAACCCTATTGTTCTTTAAATACATTGTTATCATCAAAACTTTTTAAGGGCATAAACAAGTTTTTTTCCAACTATGTGGAAGACGAAATAAGTCACGGACAACATGACACTACTGACGATAATAATTATTGGTCTTTGAATGTTTCTTTATCATTTTTATTTCATCTTTGCAAAGCTATTACTGATGATTCGTGTGTTTCTAACTTTTCATTTCAGACTTGGATCTTCTAGTGCTTCTCGCGTATCTCTGGTTGGGTGAGTGTATCGTCTTACATTTAGGATATGCCGCGTGCTACTACTTTTTCCCCGCACAGAGGGAACTAGAAGATCGAGCCTTACAAAGTATATCTGACTGTTTGGTTGTTGAGGACATGCACTTTAACAACTATGTAGATCACCGTGAGACGCGACCATTTGACGAGATAATGTTATACTCTGGATGGTTGGCCTACAAATCACGTCTCATTGTTCCTTAACTTCCTGAGTGTGTCATGCGGTAGTTCGGCTACACTCAGACCATCCCCAAACACCCTGTTTTCTCTGCTCCTCCTGCCTTGACACGTAGACAGATAAATGACATGTTTGATGATTAAGAGATTCATCTGGTACTGGAGGAGGCATGAAGTACCATAATTGAGAGTGATTGGAGCTACGTCTAAGGGTACATCAGATGGTTCTTCAGGATGTCACATCCGTACATGGTGCATGTTGTTCAAAGATATCCGTCGAGGCTGACTCTTCATGAGATACTAGAGGGGGAGCAGGCACAACTAGATCGAAGATGTCTTGCCTAGGTGTTGTCGCAAATTGGAGATTACGGAGGCAGGGTTTGACACATGTATCTTCCCTGATGGGTCTGATGTGAGACAAGTCATAGATGCCATCATGACGGAGGCACGTGGAGCATTGTTGTATTGGAGACACTGTCGGAGGACAGTGGAGATTGTTAGCTGAGAAGATAGATGAGGCATATGAGGCAGAGGAGGTAGAGGAGAGATAGTCACACATACACAGTAGTTTATTAGTATATAGTAGTAGTAATGTGGTCTGTATTTTATTTTGACATCATGCTACTGTATTGGTCTCGATTGTATGACATTTTTTTATATTTATTGGTCTTTTATTTATATATGGCATTTTTGGACCATCTGGATTTATGTACGTTTATTTTTTATTTCAATTGTATGATATGGTTTAAATCTGCATCTAAATACACGTAAGTAAAGCATAACATAAAGAGATATATTCTGATACGTTACAGAAACGTATCTCTATAAAATTCACGAAGATGTATCTCCGATACAATATACATATATAATAGTGTACGAGTGTGATAGACTAAAATATTTTAAATTATTACAGAAATACATCTTCAAAATATTTCAACTTTCATTCGAATTTAATACCTACAAAAAAAATATATATCTTTAAAATTTTAAAAATATTTAAATAATTTTGCATAATAACTTTTAAAAAAACATCAAATAATGTACATGAACATCTGAGGCATGGAAGCCCTCCATTGGTAGGGTAGCCCAATGAATCACCTCTTTTAAACACCACAGTCAACGATCGAAATGACCTAACCCAGTCCCGATCCTAAAAAGGTCAAAGAACTTGAATCTTGTAACCTGTATCAATAATTAATTAAATTATTAGCTATTAATAATGCATGTTCATGTTCACTTGGAACTTGGCATTCCCGCTACCTACACGTGTTTATAATTAATGAAGTTCAAAAATAGACGCCAAGACCCAACAAAAAAGGCTTTCTAATCTTTCTACCTTTTTCTTCCTCACCACAACCTCTTTCACCAATCCATTTACCAAATATTATTTCTATATTTGATTCATATATATTCCATTTTCTTCACATTTCATTTTACAGCACAAAACAGTTTCCGTTTCTCCGCCGGAGAAATCACCGCAATAATGCTGTAATCTCTATACCCCTCCGTTCCGGCGATCCGTGATAGTGAGCGTTTCATCATCTTCCTCATTCAACAACGCTCTCTATCACATTTTTTTCTCTAAATCTTGCTATTAACTATAAACGACAACAACAATGACTAATAAATCTGACTCCGTCGTCTACCTTCACGGTAATCTTGATTTGAAAATCGTTGAGGCTCGTTTTCTACCGAACATGGACATGTTCTCAGAGCGTTTTCGGAGATTCTTCTCCGCTTTAAATTCATGCACAACTTCAATGTCTGGAAAAGGAAAGAATCGTGAGCCACGTCATCATCATCATAAGATTATCACCAGTGATCCTTACGTAACGGTTTGTCTCGCCGGTGCTACGGTGGCGCGAACCAGAGTTATTTCGAATTCGCAGTCGCCGAAATGGGAAGAGCATTTTAGGATTCCTTTGGCTCATCCTGTTTCTCAGGTTGAATTTTATGTGAAAGATAATGATATGTTTGGCGCTGATTTGATCGGAATCGCAACCGTTTCGGCGACGAGGATTTTATCAGGTGATAATATATGTGACTGGTTTCCGATTATAGGTTCTTTCGGTAAGCCGCCGAAACCTGATTGCGCGGTTTTTCTTGAGATGAAATTCACGAGGTGCGATGATGATCCTCTGTATCGGTCCGGTGTTTCGCTTGAGCCGGATCGGTTTGCGGTTAAGGAATCGTATTTTCCGGTGAGACGTGGAGGATCGGTAACGCTGTATCAAGATGCGCATGTTCCGGATTCAATGTTACCGAGGATTGAATTGGATGATGGTGTGGAGTTTCAGCAGGGGAAATGCTGGGAAGATATCTGTCACGCGATCTTGGAAGCGCATCATATGGTGTATATTGTCGGTTGGTCAATTTTTCACAAGGTGAAGCTTGTTAGAGAACCAACCAAACCCTTGCCAAGTGGTGGAAATTTGAATTTGGGGGAGTTACTCAAGTACAAATCACAAGAAGGTTTGCGAGTTTTACTGTTGGTTTGGGATGATAAAACTTCACACAGTAAATTTTTCATTAACACGGTACTTTTTTGTTTTTTGTGTTCCTACTTATCATTTTAATTTAGGTGGAAATAATTCATTAGGTTTTTCAATGTTGATTTTCATGAATTTATCATGCTCCTAGCCTTGAAGGGAAGATAGTCTTGATTAATATTGATGGTATGCAGAAGGTTTTAAATAACTGTTGCAATCGCACAAAAGATTTTGAGATTTCAATAGCTGCGATGTGACTAACGGTATTGGTATTGAAATCTGCTAATAGTGTTTTGTTGCGGCAATAGACCGTTTTTCAAAAACAAATTAAAAATGAGGCATTGAAATAATTTGATAATAAACATATTAATAATGGTTGTCCAAATTAGGAAAGAAAGAAAAACTTTAATGGTTAGTATCAGACAGAAGTGACTGATTAGGTAAATTCCTTATACCTTACCTTATATAGAAACAGTTTGATGATCTTCCTTATTTCTTTAAAATAAAATTTCTGTAACCAAATTGGATTATACAGCGTTCCAGATCTCCAATCTGGATCTAAATATCTGGCTGGTGACAGATGCTTTCATACATGTTGCATCTCCAATGCAATGTTGTAAAATTTTAAGAACAAAAACAGTTTCTGATTTTTTTTTCTAGCGTTGATGTTTAGTGACATGTCAATAAAATTAGAGTTTCTATACCAGGACGCGTTCTAAAGGTAAAAAGTGGAGAATTGTGGGACCCTTTAAAGTAAACTAAGAACAAAAGTATTGTTCTTGCATTGGAGTAAAAATAGGCAAATGTTCTTAAATCACATGTGAAAACTTGAGACCCACTAAAAAGTAAATAATTTGGCCTTTTGGGCATATATTCTTGTTTGGCATGGATTTATACATACACGTTGCTTGAACAGTGTTACTTGTTTGGCCTTTTGGGCATATCTTCTTGTTTGGCAGGCATGCTGCCAAGTTCAACTTGGTGTTTGTTGCACATTTTCTGAACCTTATGAGTTAATAATTTGGTTGCAGAATGGAATAATGCAAACTCATGATGAAGAAACTCGAAAGTTTTTCAAGCATTCTTCAGTTACATGTGTGTTGTCTCCAAGATATGGCAGCAGTAAGCTTAGCATTTTCAAGCAGCAGGCATGCTTTATGCTATGGTTTACTAGCTTTCCTAGACTTTTTTATGTTTCTGTTTAAAAGTTATGCATATTTTATGGTTCTTTCCATCCTTTCATAATACCTCTACTTTTAATACATTTTTCTTCATACGAGATGGATTGGATACTCTCATCTGAGATGTTCACTTGCACAACAAGTTTTCATATGGAAATCTAACATGCGGGGATATATTTCTATGCACAGGATAAACTTTTTGAATCTTTGCATTGATATTGTTTAAATATATTAAAGAAAACTCATGTTATATGGATTGTATCCTAGAATAATTTTGAATATCATAGAATATCTCTTAGTTATAGTTTATGTCTTTTATTATATCTCAGTTTATTTATTTTTATTTTCTGTCAATTGTTTTGCCATATTTAACTAGAATATGGTAAAAAACCAATATGGTTTGGCGCTAGTAAGAGATATAGTCTAGTTTACAAAAAAGAGAAGAGTGCAATACTCCTATCTTTTACTTTTAGGGAAAAAACATCTATTGATATAGGTAAAGCTTAATGCTTGGTCTTTCTTTTATCACAGCATATCACATCAAGTTACACAAGAATATTATGGTCTCTTTTATCCATCTATTCCTCTTTCTTTGCCTCAATCCTTTTAATGTCTATAGATGAGATTCTGGGTTGGTAGCCATCCTTTTCTTCTATATGGCCTGATAGTTGAAAGCAAAAAAAGAATTGTTTTTCTTTTTTCACAATCAGTAGTTGAGTTTTATGAATCCCAACAGGAAATTTTGAAAGGAAAAGTTTTGTTTTGTTTTTAAAAAAATTGGAAGACCTGTTAACTGTATTATGTTGCACCAAATTTCAGGTTGTTGGAACGCTCTTTACACACCATCAGAAATGTGTGATCGTTGATACTCAAGCACATGGAAATAACCGAAAGATAACTGCATTTATAGGTGGTCTAGATCTTTGTGATGGTCGGTATGATACACCTGAGCATAGAATTTGCCGTGATCTTGACACTGTTTATAAGGATGATTATCATAATCCCACATTTTGTGTAAGTTAATTTCTGACAATACTTCATATTAACATTCCAAATGACATTAGAATGACCTTTTCTTTTGAACACGACATGCCCAGTTTCTGTTCCCTTCTCAAATAATCGGAAAAAAAAAAAACCTCTTAGTTTAAAAGCTAGTACCATTTCTTGGTCTGTAGTGTTAATATTCATATACGTCATTGTTTTAGCATCTAGTGGTTAAAATGTTAAAGTAGAGAAAGAAACCTTCAGCAAGTTTGACATGTCAAAACTCTAGCAGTGTTATTGGCACTTCGAATCTTGTAGTAAATGAAAGAACTTGAGAAGCACAGTTTTAGAGAGAATGAATATTCCTGCATAATTCATTGAATCTTTAGGAAATGATTACAAGATAAAACTGAATACATGAGCTAGATAGTTATATGACAATAAGAGGACAATGAGTGTCTAACTAACTCAATAATTTCAAAATAACTTAACAGTTGGTAACTACTATAGCTTAGGTGAAGCTTTCTATATAATTGATACATATATATACTGTGATACTTCATAAACATAAATTGTCGTAATGTTTTTTTTATTTTTAAATAATAAGATTGAGATTGCCAAGGCACTCTTACTAAGTGAAAATTCTTTTCGTCCTCCTTTTTAATAATAGGCAGGAACCAAGGGTCCAAGGCAACCATGGCATGATCTGCATTGTAAAATTGAAGGCCCTGCTGCATATGATATACTCACTAATTTTGAGCAGCGCTGGAAGAGAGCCACCAAATGGTCTCAGTTAGGTCAAAAATTAAAAAGAGTATCACACTGGCATGATGATTCTTTAATTAAGTTAGAACGCATCTCTTGGATTCTTAGTCCTTCTGAATCAATGCCAAATGACGATCCTGAATTATGGGTTTCAAAGGAAGATGACCCTGAAAATTGGCATGTTCAGGTTATCAGTTCATTGTCTTTAAAGTATAGTATCTGTTTACTTTTTTTGTTGTGTTTTAGAGATAATTTTTTTACTTAATTTTTGTTTTTCACAGGTTTTTCGATCCATAGATTCGGGCTCTTTGAAAGGATTTCCTAAGGATATACATGAAGCCAGGGCTCAGGTGACTGAATCTTTTATAAGATGAATTTAACCAACATAGAGCTGATCTATGGATGTTACAGAACCTTGGGTTTTCCCTGTCTCACTAACTAATTTTTTTGTCGACCGCTCATTGCAGAATCTTGTTTGTGCTAAAAATTTGGTCATAGACAAGAGTATTCAAACAGCTTACATACATGCCATTAGATCTGCCCAGCATTTTATTTATATAGAGAATCAATACTTTATTGGATCATCCTTTGCTTGGCCATCTTACAAAGAAGCAGGTTTTGACAGAATATTGATGATATTTTGCTTACAATTTTGATTGCTCATAATTAGAGTGTGACAGAAGTTTTCTTACTTTTAGCTTAAGACTATTTTTCAATATTGTAACCATGCTCGTGCTCTTTTGTCTATCGTGCATCTTCATATGTTCTGTTGTTGTGTGGCTAAACTATCAATATCACTTGAACATAGAAATGATCATTTTTCATTGTTGTTTTTCCTCAAAACCTGAAACCTGCCCAAGCCATGCTCTTTTGCTCATCCTGTATTTTGAGCAACTTCCTAATACTGATGATATGACAAACTGACTCAATAAATATGTGATACACAGTAATTGTATAGCCAAAATATCTATATGACTTGAAATATCCATTCTTTATCATTGTTTTACCTTCAAATCTGTCCAGTGGATAATGTTTTTTGTCGTGATATTTTTTATTAGTATTTTATTACAACATTTTCTACTAATTCTAATAATCCATTCTATAATCAGGTGCTGATAACTTAATTCCCATGGAGTTGGCGCTGAAAATTGTCAGTAAGATTAGATCTCGGGAGAGATTTACTGTTTATATTGTTATTCCAATGTGGCCAGAAGGCGTGCCTTCTTCTGTCACAGTGCAAGAGATTCTCTATTTTCAGGTAATATAGTGTAAAAGATGTGATTAACATAGTATATGTAAAACTTTAAAATAGTGGATAATTTTACATCCCTCAATTGTTATTGGTATGTTTATTAAAGAGTAATTCGCATTTTCAGGGACAAACTATGCAAATGATGTATGGAATCATAGCCAGGGAATTAAAATATATGAACCTTAACAATAGCCATCCACAAGATTACCTCAACTTTTACTGTCTTGGTAACAGAGAGAAGTTTGCAACTGAAGATTCAAATCCAAAGAATTCACATTCAGATGATGGCGTCACGGTAATTGTTCAAAATGTTATTCTGACTTATGTATTAATGATGGAATGAATCATCTTGCAGTTGAAAACCTGTTATGATGGTATATTTGTATATTATGGTCGTAAACTATACTTTTGAACTAGTCCTTGAAAATCAACAACTGAAAAAAAGAGCAACTAGGAAGTCTCATCTCTAATAGTGTTCTACATTATCTATACTAATTTATTGCTTTGCTCCTGGCACTTGTGGGCTTGTAGAGCGTGCCTTTAGTTGTTGGTCATTTTTCCTTAAGGAAAATTATACTCACCCTGAGATTTAGATCTATTAATATGACAGTTACACTTCTTTTAGTTTAAACATATTCACTAACATTTTCTCTAATTTGAAATATACACTAACCTCCCTAATATATATATATATATATATATATATATATATATATATATATATATATATATATATATATATATATATATATATATATATATATATATATATATATATATATATATATATATATATATATATATATATATATATACGCCAACGGAACTTTTTAAGGACAATAAAAAAACTAGAAGTAAATGTCATTTATACTTACAATTTTTATTGTCACTAAAAATTAGATGAAGTATTAGTGTCATTTTAATAGACCTCAAAAGAGGTTAGTGTATATTTTTAGATTAAATGGTAGTGTTTGTATTATTTTAATAGAGGTGAGTGTAATTTGCCTTTTTTATTATTTTAAAGGAGAAGGGTGAGAAAAATAGAACTATATTTAATAAAAGAGAGGTTTGTAAAAAAAAAAGAAAAAGGAAGAATCTTAATTTTAGTCCGTAATTAAATCTTCAAGATAGAATGTTTTATTGCGCCGTCAATAGGTCTCTCACGTGAGGAATGTCTTTTTTTTTTCAATAATTAGCGACGGTTTTTAACCGTCACTAATGAACATTAAATTATTAATGACGCTAAAAGTGTCACAAAGTGAACAGAACATTTAGTAATGGTTAAAAATCATTGCTAAAATTTTTTTAACAACGGTAAAAATCGTCACAAAATAAATAATAATATTTAGTGATGGTTAAAAATCGTCACTAATGGTTAAAAAAAAAAGCATCACTCATGTTTTATGGATTTCAAACTTCAAATAGTTAGTCCATTATTTATTATAGTTCTAGCGTGCTACATTTTCAATGTCTATTATTGTTCTTGCTTGCTACATTTCACTACAGTACTACTGGGTTGTGAACGTAAATTATATGCTCAATCTCCTTGCTGGTAGATATCTAGTTCAGGGTTGGTATTGTTATTTTGATATCATTAAGTTAATATTTTCCTGCAATCATCAGGTTTCAGCTTCACAAAAATTCCAACGGTTTATGATTTATGTGCACGCCAAAGGAATGGTTGTGGATGATGAGTATGTGATGGTTGGATCTGCCAATATCAACCAACGATCTATGGGCGGATCAAGAGATACCGAGATAGCAATGGGTGCATATCAACCCCAGCATACATGGAACAAGAAAAAGGGGCACCCTCATGGGCAGGTTTGTATAATAATATTCACTAATTACATGAAGTTATGGTTCCACATTTCTCCAGACATCACTTTCACAAGGACTTGTTTAACTGATATTTGCAGGTATATGGATATAGAATGTCCTTGTGGGCAGAGCACTTAGGAACCATACATGACTGCTTCAAAGAACCTGAAAGTTTGGAATGTGTGGAGACTGTGAACAACATCGCAGAACAAAACTGGAAGAAATTTACAGCGGATGATTTTAAGCCATTGCAAGGGCACATTATGAAGTATCCCATCAAAGTGAATGCAGATGGGAAAGTAAGGCCCTTACCTGGATTTGAGTCTTTCCCAGATGTCGGCGGCAAGGTGCTTGGTGCCCGATCTACTCTTCCTGATGCTCTAACTACATAGACATAACATAACCTCCCATTCTCAAATGAGAGAATTGGATCGCAAGACGTGTTGGGCAAAAATTTTAACAGCTCCACAAATTTTCACGGGTACTTGCCCAAAATTTTTTTATCACTATTTACTGTATAGTATGCAATAGGCTGCATATGCCAGCCAGAGTCACACTGTATATTTGTTTGTGTTGAATGCTTGTTGCATATAGTTTGGGTCTCTTAAAGTGCTTAATATTAAACCATCATTTCTTTAAGACCCACACCAGTTCCAATGCCCTTGATTTCAAGGTTGTTGTTCATATAAATGTTCCAACGAGAACTTCACACTTACCAGGTGAAACAATTGTTTAAAATTTTATACTTCATTGTTTTATTTTTATAAATTTAAAGTGTATTCAGATCAATATAAATTGATGTTCATCCACTGACATATATTACTATTGTTACCATATTATTCCTTCCTGATTGTTGTTACTAATTATCACCCAATTAATATAAGAAATTTTCTTTCTTTAAATGAAATTATACGATTATATGATAAAGAAAACACAATTTAGGATGCATGGCATGATATACTATATATATACGGCGCAAAACATTCTGACTCCACTTAAGTAAATGAATTACATTACACAAGTTCATCTCATACAATAGTATTCCATTACAACAACGATTAATTATGCTCTTCAACAAGAACAAAATTAACATGAACAAACCATATTATAAAGAGGAGACAAAGCATTATAATTTAATTAACAGTGACTTGTCCAACCATACCAGCTCCTTGGTGAGGTGAGCAGTAGAATTTGTAGGTACCCTTAGCATCCAACTTAACGCTGTAAGTCTCACCAGGCGCGTTGAGAAGATCTTCTTCAGGCATGGAAATTTTTGCTGCATCAACCCCAGCAGGAATCTCGTCTTCATCAAAGACAACATTGTGAGGAAAACCAGCATTGTTCTTGAATACAATGGTGTCTCCAGCGGTCACTTCGAAACTGCTTGGCACAAAAGCCAAACCCCCATCACTAGCACCAAGCAAGACCTCAACAGCCAAGGCATTGCTAGCTAGCACTGCACTTGCAGCAGTGGCAACAAGAGCAACTCCAAAGTCTTTGAGTGAAGCTCTCACACAAAGCCTTGGAGATTGAGAAGTTGAAGCTGGAATCTTAGCCATGGCAGTAACTTTAGTTGCTGCGTTTGCCTTGAGGCCTGAGAATGATGGAATAGCAACGGTGGTGGAAGTGACTGTGGCCATTTTTTCTCAAGAGTAATGAGGTTCTTCTCTACTGAATTTGTATGTGTTTGAAGGGAATCGAAAGAGAGACACACAGAAGGTGATTTTTTATAGAATGGATGATAAAGATGTGGATTGGGTTTTTGTGTGGCTAAGATGTGTGGAAGAATATGTGATTTAGATAATGTAGATGTGCCACAGAGTGCGTGGAATTAAGGTGGGTTATCTGATGAACATTGCTGTGATTGGTTGAGTTGGATGTTATCCTCCGACGTGGCTTAGATTTTTTTAGTAAATAGTAGTAGTATATTTTTTATTTCTCCTTTGCGATTTTTTTTTAAATAATCAATTTTTTCAAATTATATACATTTTTAATTTATTTATCAAACTATAGGAGTCGTCAACTCCTATCTCCTATAGTTATTCACCCCGCAACGCAACGCAGAAATTTTAAAAAAAAAAGTTTATAATGTTTTTCATCTTTCAACTGATGGTGGGAAATTCAAATTTTTTGAAAAGTCAGTTGTGGGATGAAAAGCACACCACAGTGCTTCTGAATAAAATTGGTGGAAAATTAAAAGGCTCAATTATGAGGCATCAGTGTAGCAGGTGAACTTTCTAACACATACGTTGCTGGATTTTTATCACGTTGCAACTCCCAACGACATTAAATGTAGCGAGATGTTTTCCACGCCACAACCTCCCTATATATTCCACAGCTTCGTTTTCTCCTCCACATTCCAGAATTCAAAGAGAATTAATACACAAATACTTTACTTCTAACTCCTCTTTCTCTCTTCATGTCCTACTACACAAATAAATTCTTCAAATCCTTCATCTTCAACACAAATATCTTTGTCTTTAGGAGCAAGTTCTATTGTTGTTGATGGGTGAATTCAGATCTTTTTTTTTTTTTTAAATCTTCTTCAAAAGTTGTTGTTGTTGTTGTTGTTGTTAAGGTACACAAAATAAACTTCTTCTTTTATATTTTTTTACTGGATTGCATAAGTTGTGTAGATTTAGTTTCTTTGAAGGTTGTATGATAAACGGGAAGGAATTTGAAAGGCTGAGAACGTGGGGAAGTTACAAAGATGGTGGAGCAACACATGTCACCACCAGAACAAACATTGTGAGAAAAGTAGTTATTTTTCTTTTTCTATTTAAAGCAATGTCTATTTTCATTTGAGGGGACGCATTTTGTAACATTTTCAAAGGAATACACTCTGAGTACCAAGCGTTAAGAGAAAAGAGTTCACTCATGTAAAATGTATAATAACTTCCACATTTCTTTTTAAAGCAATTTACATTACCAAATTTTAAGATATCTTGCCTTTTACTTGTTTATTTTGTTTGTTTATCAATTCATGTACATTTTTCTTCAAGTGTGTTTCTAATTTACTCTAAACAAAACACATTCTACCAGCATCGCATAGACTCGACTAGATTGTTCTAGGACTTGTTTGGCCGGTCCCGCAAGTAAACCTGCATTAGGAGGCCATAGGTTGTTCGCAGAAAACCGTGTGTGAACAAATTGGCACGCTCAGTGGGACCCGTTGGTTTGGGTGTATGCATTTGTGTAGTGGTAAGGTGGTGATACCACGTCCAAACGAAGAACCGTCTTCGGAGAGAAATACGGTTGTGACGCAAACAACTGATGTTGGCGCTGACACTGTGTCTGCGGTTTTGACTGCACATAAGGGGTCTGTCGTGACGCCACGTCTACCTGAACCTAGGCCTATGATGACGGGAACTAGGGGGTTCACAATGCCCATGCCTCGAGCCTTTGTGATGCCAACAGAGTTCATGTCGAGCTTACATTATAGTGGTCCACTCTTTAGAGAAAGTTAATCGTCAACTTTTTCACCGTATCAAGGATTAGGGACTTTGAAGAACCAAGTCACTAGGCCCCTAGGGTTTAGTCTTCCAACTCAATCAATTCCAACTTTCACCTCAAGTTCTGTCGCCGTTATGAGACAGCAGATGGATGAAAGTAACCACGAAATGGTTCACATGTTAACCCAGCAAATGAGGACCATATCAATACCATTAATACAATATTTGACGCAGAGTTACCAACAGTTGGCGACTCAGATGACACGAATAGGTGATTTCCTAGGTGCTCCTAGGGCCCCGGGTCGACGGACTCCTCCGCCTCGACCAGAGATGTCAATTTGACAAGACGAAGTCTTTGACGAAACAATTGATCAGCAATCTCATGAGGTTGAACACACACCTAGGGTCTCCCAAAGGCCTCTCGTTGTTTTAGTTTATAGGAACCAAGACTCAGACTATGTGGTCAGACATGTTCGACACGAAGCCATGGCTAGCGAACAAAACTTAGAATCCATCGTCGAACATGTTGCCAGATATCAAACTGAAGCTGGTGAGATAGCAAACAATGAGGACTTGAAAATGAAGTATTTTCCAAGTTCCCTCATAAAGAATGTGTTTACTTGGTTTACCACGTTATCCCCACAGTTTGTCCATACCTGGGCACAATTAGAAAGGTTGTTTCATGAACAGTTTTACATGGGACAATCGAAAATTAGTCTGAAAGAGTTAGCTAGTGTCCAACGTGTAACACCCTTTTCTACCCCAAAAGTATAATGGCAAATCAATCACATTTATCAGAGTACTACTTTAAACACAATAAAAATCACCTCAAAGGGCGTACATTTCTCAATAATTCAACTCAAAGTCAATGCTCTGTAGCAACGGGTTTTCCCAAAATTACTCAAAAATTGCTCAAATGGCAGCGGAACTCAAAAGGGCAAATCCAATGTTTTTCTTGCACAACAACATAATCAAAATAACAAAAATCAATAAAACATGATTTAACTCAAAGACCCCAACCCGATGTTACACTATCAGAGCAAGACCCTCTAAGTCAACCAAAATGTCAAAAACTCCAAAAAGTCCTTGACGGCATCCACGGCTAAACCTGGTCATCTGTACGTTACCCACGTGGAGGCAACACTCAAACAGGCAGAGTGAGTAAAATGACTCATAATAATCAATATAAGAATCAATATATAAAATAGCGTCATTTTCATGTCCAACACCATCATAATCATCAAGGAAACATAAAAAAGCCATAACATCATAAATTACACCAAATTGTCACATAAATGCAAATGCAACAAGACTCATGCATGTGGTACCAATTCAACAAAATTCGATGGACAGTGGTCCATCAATCCTCCATAGATCCCCATCAATAGGATCGATTCTACACAAGAACCGGAGCATAATAAAATACTTCACATCCGCACAATGGGACTGAAGGCACAATAATTAAACACTAGACCGAAGTCCGAAATGCATATGAATGTATGATGCACACGTCAATATCATCATCATAATAAAATCATTAGATGCATCATCATTCATCAAAATCATCACAATAATCATGTCGTCATAAAATCATCAAAGCCTCATAAATCAACATCGTAAATCATCACAATTACTCATGAGAATTCATTATACAATCATGTATTATTCTCATAAAATTCACAATTATACTCACGGTAATTCATCAGGAAAATCACAGCATCAAAACATCAAGATATCACTGAACCAGAACATAATTCGCGAAACTTTGCTACATTCGCTGGCAAGTTCGTCGTGCGAGTCTGGGGCGAATGTTCGTCGTGCGAAGGATCATTCGCTGTGCAAACTCGCGATTATAGAAAAACGCTGTTACGCACCAGCACCAAAACCAGCCAAGGAGTCCCCACGATTTCCTTCCCCAATGCCCCAAAACATCCCTAAATCCTTCCTAAGTATTACGGCGATAAAGGCACAAAATCTACGACTTATTAGACCAATCCCGTATCATATTTATGCCTCCAATTCCCATAAAATCCTTACAATTTTTCCACATTCATTAGGGTTCTCATAATCAATTACCCTATACGATTAAAACCTCAACAACAGATTTTGGCCACGAAGGCCTAATTTCCCTTACTGTCAAATCAGCCTCAAATATATCAGACCATCAGTTCAAATCCTTCAAACTCATTAAACTCACCAAAAAAACAACAACAATTCAATATTCAAAATCCCTAAACCCTTAAATCCTCTTTAAATACATTGAATCACATATTGAAAACAATGAAGGCAATACTCCCCATACTCAAACAACCTCAAAAACAGATTTGGCCACGAAGGACTAATTTTCTCAAACTCAAAAGCCTCATAAATCCTTAAATCGGCTTTAAATACATTGAATCATATATTAAAAACAATGAAGGAAATACTCTCCATACTTAAACAACCTCAAAAGCAGATTTGGCCACGAAGGTCTAATTTCCTCAAACTCAAAAACCTCATAAATCCTTAAATCGGCTTTAAATACATTGAATCATATATTGAAAACAATGAAGGCATTACTCCCCATACCTTAATTTGTCTATTCCAAACCTTTCTCCTTTGAGTTCTTGAAAACCTCACGAAGCTTTGCCTCAACCCTCTTCCTCAGAGCTCTGGCCTCTATTTCTTCTTTTTTCACGGTCTAACAAGAATGAATCCTAATTCCCTCAAAATTCCTTTTTGTTAAACCTAACTTTGGGCCTTAAAATGAGCTTTCCAATTTCACCCTCACTAACTCCTCCTTAAATGTCCATTTTGCCCTTAATTCACTTATATTTATTTAAATTAATAATAATACCAATATATTAATATTATATACTATTATTTAAATAAATAACCCAAAATTCATAATTCTCAATATTTCATACCAACCACCGAAAATCACCAAAAATACGAATATTCATATTTAAATAAATTAAATAAATATTCCAATAATTTTGGGGTGTTTCACAACGGAAGGCCACGGAGCCGGTGGACCAATATCTTAACATGTTTATACTTTTGAAAGCACAATGCTTCATTCAAGTCCCTGAACATGAGTTAGTCGAGATGGCGGCTGAGATTACTAATTCAGGAAAAAGTTAGACACACAATATCTTAGAGGTATGGTGCAACTAGCTGATAGGGTCCGACAGGTCGAACATTTAAAA